TGATATGATTATAACTGTATTTGTGTTTGCACTGGTTGCCCTAAGGCTGGAGCGGCCTAGCTGTGAGGAGTGTGTTACCATGGAAACGATGCTGTAGAGAAGTGGGAGGAGCTTAGAGAGGAGAGTTTTGAAAAGCGACAGTTAAAGTCAGTCAGGGTTTAGGCTCAGAGGAATGAAGAGTTGGGGGTTTAGGCTCTGAGGAATGAAGAGTCAGGTTTTAGGCTCAGGGAAATGAAGTGTTGAGAGAGAGAGTGGGAAGTAGAGAAGCAGTGTTTGTGAATAGTCAGAGGTTTCTTCAGTTTAGGAAGGCTGAAGGGGAAACCTTATTAGTTTCATTAGTTAGAGAAGACTAATAGAAGCTTGTTTAGATCACTAGTTAAAAGTGAACTAGAGATCTGAGGTTTGATCACGGAAGGATCAAACAGAAAGACTATTCACTTCAGGAACCATTGTTTAATAAAGTGCTTCACCACAGCAAAAGTTATTGATAAGTTGTAACATCAGAAGTCTGTACTGTATCGCAACCAAGTTATATGTAACGTTCTCCAAGCATCTTCCAAGTTTATCACCAAACTGCAACCATACGCTTTGTTTCAAAATAAACTTGTTCTCTTTGATTTTAAGACTGCCTCATCTCCATTAATTCGGCGTTCACCCAATCTCCCAAAATTACCTCACATCACAAATTGGTGGCACCATTAAGGATAATAAATAATAAATCAAAACTTAATAAATCGAAACTTCTCTCTCCTGAAACTCTTTTCTTTGAAGTGGGGCAACCCCTTCGCAGGGTGACTCTAAGTCTAAACTTTAGGGCAGGGACCAAGTAAATGACCTTGGAGGGCCGCATTAGGCTCACAGGCCTTAGTTTAAGGGCCCCTGATCTACACCAATACAAGAATTACCCGCTTGATTGCTTTCTTCTGTTTGTAATCTTCTTTCATTTGTTTTAGCTCCCTCTCTGCTGTAGATCTTCTGTGTCTATGACTCGCCTGCAATCTCTTGACAAGGAAAACTTTAAACACAGACAATTATATTTAATTCAAAATCCTTTTCTAAGTGAAACTTTCAGTATATGGAAAAACAGAGAGCTGCACTTGTATTGAAACCATCACCATTGATTTCAGTTATATGTCTTTCCCTTATTTTATCATTAAGATACATTTACCTTATTTAAAAGCTGGGAACAATAAGAACTACCTATAGGCTATATACCAGCCATGGGCAAACTTTGGCCCTCCAAGTGTTTTAGACTTCAACTCTCACAATTGCTAATAGCCAGTAGCTGTTTGCCCATGCCTGCTATACAGGCTACTACATGTTTACACAAAAGCTAAATATAAATCCAGTAAACGAATTAAGCATTAATTAGCTGCAATTAAACTGACATATATACATCAGGTGCTTCACTTTATCTCTGGAGCAGACATAAAAATACAGGTTAACACTCTTAAGCAAATGTGAAATATTAATACATTTTTTTCATACAAACACTAAACATTTACTGTCAAAAATGTATCATCTATTGATTGAATCTACATAATTAGACCCTGGGGACATCAAGAAAAATTGTATAATATTAAGAATCTAACTGTAGAAAATATATTGAACCCTAAGCAGGGATTTATTGCCTATCTTTTAAATTTCCCAAAAACATAGAATTTTTTAAAAAATCACGAAAGGCTCCTCAGCAAGACGGATTGGATGAGGGATTTGAGGACATCCAACTCCAAATTGGGAAACAAGTCATACAGGAATACCTGGCCACTCTAAATGAGTTCAAGTCCCCAGGGCCAGATCAACTACACCCAAGAGTATTGAAGGAACTAGCGGAAGTCATTTCGGAACCATTGGCAACCATCTTTGAGAGTTCTTGGAGAACAGGAGAAGTTCCAGCAGATTGGAGGAGGGCCAATGTGGTCCCAATCTTTAAGAAGGGAAAAAAGGATGACCCAAACAACTACTGTCCAGTCAGCCTCACGTCGATACCAGGCAAGATTCTGGAAAAGATTGTTAAGGAAGTGGTCTGCAAACACTTAGAAACAAATGCAGTCATTGCTAATAGTCAACATGGATTTATCAAAAACAAGTCATGCCAGACTAATCTGATCTCTTTTTTCGATAGAGTTACAAGCTGGGTAGATGCGGGGAATGCCGTGGATGTAGCATACCTGGATTTCAGTAAGGCCTTCGACAAGGTCCCCCATGACCTTCTGGCAAGGAAACTAGTCCAATGTGGGCTAGGCAAAACTACGGTGAGGTGGATCTGTAATTGGTTAAATGGACGAACCCAGAGGGTGCTCACAATGCTTCCTCTTCATCCTGGAAAGAAGTGACGAGCGGAGTGCCGCAGGGTTCCGGCCTGGGCCCGGTCCTGTTCAACATCTTTATTAATGACTTAGATGAAGGGCTAGAAGGCAGGATCATCAAGTTTGCAGACGACACCAAATTGGGAGGGATAGCCAATACTCCAGAGGACAGGAGCAGGATTCAAAACGATCTTGACAGATTAGAGAGATGGGCCAAAACTAACAAAATGAATTCAACAGTGACAAATGCAAGATACTCCACTTTGGCAGGAAAAACGAAATGCAAAGATACAGAATGGGGATGCCTGGCTCGAGAGCAGTACGTGTGAAAAAGATCTTGGAGTCCTCGTGGACAAGAGGTTAAACATGAGCCAACAATGTGATGTGGCGGCAAAAAAAGCCAATGGGATTTTGGCCTGCATCAATAGGAGCATAGTGTCTAGATCTAGGGAAGTAATGCTACCCCTCTATTATGCTTTGGTTAGACCACACCTGGAATATTGTGTCCAATTCTGGGCACCACAATTCAAGAGAGATATTGACAAGCTGGAATGTGTCCAGAGGAGGGCGACTAAAATGATCAAGGGTCTGGAGAACAAGCCCTATGAGGAGCGGCTTAAGGAGCTGGGCATGTTTAGCCTGAAGAAGAGAAGGCTGAGAGGAGATATGATAGCCATGTATAAATATGTGAGAGAAAGCCACAGGGAAGAGGGAGCAAGCTTGTTTTCTGCTTCCTTGGAGACTAGGACGCAGAACAATGGCTTCAAACTACAAGAGAGGAGATTCCATCTGAACATGAGGAAGAACTTCCTGACTGTGAGAGCCGTTCAGCAGTGGAACTCTCTGCCCCGGAGTGTGGTGGAGGCTCCTTCTTTGGAAGCTTTTAAACAGAGGCTGGATGGCCATCTGTCAGGTGTGATTTGAATGCAATATTCCTGCTTATTGGCAAGGGGTTGGACTGGATGGCCCATGAGGTCTCTTCCAACTCTTTGATTCTATGACATCTGTTTTGAAAACTGGACATGTTACTCAATTTCATACACAAGCTGAACCTTGTTTTAGAAACAAAATTTGCAGCAGATTCCTTGGTTTATTGCTTCTCGGGCTTTCACACCTTTAGTAAAGCTCCAATAGTGAGGATAGATTAAATTTTTTGGAAGACTTAAACTTAGTAAGTGTAGGGACAGAGCTAGCTTAGGCAATTTGCGATAAAATGAGCTACAACCTTATATGCCCCTTCTTCCTGTTTCTCCAGTGCAAGAGGAAATCAAAGGCATTTGTCTCTATCTGTGATTAAGTGCAGCTCAGTTTAATTATTAACTAGAACGCGTAGTCAGAAACCGAAAAGATCTGCAAGTTTAAAGTTATATCATTAAATACCAATGTCAGAATCATCAATTTCACAATATTTCCAGTGTATGTGAATAGATATGAAAACTAGATAGTGAACAAAAAAACCTAATTTAAAATGTAGCATTGGAGGAGTGTTCTATGGACAGACACCAAAGTGAAAGCAAAACAAAACTAACTCACAGTAGAAGCCAAGACAATTAAAGTGAGGTTGTTGTACTTTAAACATTTCTGAGATGATAAGACTCACTGGAACAGACCATAATGCTTTGTAAAATGGAAGATATTGGAAAATAGTAAGACCAAATTTCAGGTGAATTGATTCCCTCAGGACGGTAGTCACTGCTGTGAATTTCTAAGACTTGTGCATTTTCTAAGACCTGTACAATTAATGGCTGGAGCCCTTAACACAGTGGTTCTCAACCTGTGGGTCCCCAGATGTTTTAGCCTTCAACTCCCAGAAATCCTAACAGCTGATAAACTGGTTGGGATTCCTGGGAGTTAAAAGCCAAAACATCTGGGGACCGACAGGTTGAGAACCACCGCCTTAAGAGGTCTTGCATTATACGTTAAAATAAGTCAAAGCCGACTTGACAGCACATAACGAAACATCATATACAAAACTTATACTGTGTCTAATCTTGTTTACGTTGTTTTGAAATAATTCAGACTCACATTTACATGATTTATAATAACTCAGAGTCTGTTGATGTAAACAACATGCTTTGATCAAATCAAATAAATAAAATCTATGACCATTCCTCCAGGTGGGATTGATTGACATTGTGCGGTAGAGACACAAGCCAGAGACGACAAAACTTGATCCTGTCATGATAAATAAAAATAGTACCTATTGAAGCTACTATTATTTGATAGTTGATGCTGTGAACAGCTAGGTTTTAACCAGTAATTCAAGTTTTTCTAAAATTCATGTAATGTATCCATTCTTTAGACAATCTTCCAATAAATATAAATTTAAGCATATATGATGTGAGGGCCTCTAACAAAATAAGGAAAGGGAAATATAGGTAATTCTTCAATTTCTTAAGATCAGAGATTTGATGTGAATAATTTTGGAAATAATTTAATTCCTCAGGTGATTGAATTTCCACAGCTGATGGATATTATCAAATCTTACTACACTAGAGGAAACTGACAAAATATTTAAATTACAAGCATTAAATTGCTTTTAAAAGTGCTTAAAGTAATACATTTTGGGTGTATTTCCAAGTTCCTTAAGCAAATATAAAGTAGGCATAATAGCTCACTACACTGCTCTTGTAGGACAATTCAAACATTTGTAGTGAAGAAAATAAAATAAAGGTTACACTGAAATCATAGTTCTCTATTAAGCCTTTTAATGGACCAGTCATTAAGGAGATTAAACAATATCAAATCCCAGAAAAAAACAGTGTGAATGCAAAGGGAGAATGAATAATAGAATATTTTTAAATCCAGGAAAAAATAAACATAATGAGGAATACCCTTATTCCCATAAAGAAAGAAAATGAATCCTTCAAAGGATTTTCCTCTAAGTATTGAACTATATCTTCCTTTTTTTCTCCAAGGGACTGGGCAGCAGATATTCAAGTTTTCTTTCAGATGCATGCTGAAGAATTCACTGAACATTTGACAGTGAAACAGTATTCTTGAGTCTCTTTTAGAGAAAATATTCTATGGCACCTAATTATTCCCAAGCACATGTTTTCCGATTCTCCAGAAGTTGTTTTCTTTCCGTAAACTTAAATATGTGGTGAAAAGAGTCACAAGCTTCAGTTCTTCAGTGAACGCCTTAGGCCCATGATAGTGAAGGTAGCAGCAGTAATCTTTTCGTAGACTAGGAACATCAGTGCAGCAGTCAGAACTGTTTGGAGCAGCTTTGCTTCAAGCCCTTTATAGAGCCCTACTAATCCAAAACGCCTGTAAAGAAAAGAATTTAAATATACAGTAGGAATATATAACAGTAACAATATGCTAGAAGTTTTCGCCTTCCACCCTCAACATCTCATTAAAAGACATCTGTTCTTCACCTCCTTAAAGATACAATATGGAGGCAGAACTAATCTTTCTATTCTGACAGGCACTGGGGATATATCTGCTTTCTCTAAAATGCATTTCTGATAATTCTCTATTTTTAATCAGCAAACAATTCTAATGTTGCCTTTTTATTATTGTAAGTTGCCTTGCATGCTAGCTGAATGGAAAGGCAATAGAAATGGGAAAGGATAGACAATAGTAAATGTAGACGGGAACCTTTATATATGGGAAACAGCCTACCTTTGTCTAGTTGCGCAAAGGCACAGAAACAAAGGGCTACATACAAATAATTACTGATCTTGATTAAGGCTATTTTTATTTCGTATCAAAATAATTGCATAAATAAGTATAAAACTGGTAAAAATTGGAGAAGCACAAGCAACTAAATATTTTTTGACCAAAAATGGCCAACAGAGACCACATTGTCTGTAGTTTTAAACAGTTCTACCTCTGCGCATGAGACAGGGCATTGTGGGCAAGCATATAGATGCTGAGTTGTTTGTTCTGTTCCACAGTCGCACAAGGTGGAGGATTCTTTTAGGAAGTGCCATTGTGCAAGGTTGTCTTTTGATCTGCCCACTCCGCTTCTGAGTCTGTTCAGGGACTTCCAAGTTGCCCATTCTTGGTTTGCCCCTGGAGGCAGACCTCGTGGGAGGCCATCCAATTGAGATTTTCTGGTTTAGCTACACAGAGGGATACTCTTGCTATTGCTGGGGGGAAGTTAAGAAGAGTGGTGGTCCTCATGAAGCTTTTCCTTGATTTGAGTCTACTGGGAGGAGGCTGATAGCCATGCAGTGGATGGCTTTCGCAGTGTTCAACCTTATTTCTCTCACAGTAACAGCAACTTCTTGTCACACATCAGAGGGGGCAAAGCCAGGTGAAATGTTTCATTCCCAAAGAAATCCCTATGTAACTATTATACCATTTGCATTCAAATTGACTAACCAATTTATTGTAATGTACCTGAATTATTCAATTTAGACAAGATGGACATTGTTATTGAGACATATATGATTATTTTTAAAAGATAAAAAATAAGAAAGCTTACTTTATCCTCTGTCGCAGAAGGTAGAGAACATTTTTCAGACTACCCAGCCTCCTATTTTCAGGATTCAGTCGATGATGTCCAAACTGAAAAGGAAAAAAAAAATCAATTAACAGTTTCTCATGTGTTATTCTTTTCTTATTGTTGTTTGTGAGGGTATTAAAGCAAACAAATTAGTAGATTTTTGTCATTTCAGGCTTGAAAGGACTATACAGAACAAGGAGAGCAGGTTTTTATAATTCTGTTCTTACCATGTCTACATACAAAGTGCAACTTAATGAACTATTTAGTGTTGTTAATATCCCATTTCAGCAATCTATTTTGTATGATTAAGATTCCATTTCCATGAATTAGCATTGTACTCAACTAGTTCTCACTACTGTTACGGGTAAACACATGCTTTATTTTCCTGAAACCTTACACTCCCAGAAGAGAGAGAGAAAAATACCACAAAATATTTGGAAATCCATGTACATCATAATTATACAACTTATCTGTGGTAATAGTAGGAATACAGCTAATAGTAACCGTATTTGAAGTAAAGAAAACAGGTTGGCAAGCTCTTATCTCTAATTAATATAGTGCTATAAAAACTACACACTATAACAAATTATAAATCCTATAAGAATGTTTAATAGAAAACTAGGCAATGGTTTAGAATGGTAACATCCACAATGGATGCCATATGCCATGAAATTAAGATTCTAAACTAGTTGCATTTCTGCTAAAATATAATTTCTATTTACAGTCAAAACTCTAAACCCACTTAATTTTGAAAAATTAACATACACAATAAGATGAATCTGTAATTATGAAACAGCTTCTTAGAAGTTTCACCAGACTAGGTTAGAAGCTACTCTCCTGCAATAGCTGCGAAAAACTATCAAGTGGAACAAATATTAGTAAGTCAAAGTTTTAAATAAAAGCAGTGACAAAAAGAAAAGGCAAATGAAAACTTATTTGATAGGATGGTACCCACCCGTAAAATCGACTGTACTGTCTGCATAGGGTAAGTGAGGGTAGTGGCAACTGCTTTGGCTATTGCTCCAATGACGAATGCATCCAGTGAGGAAAGCTGTAATAGTATAAATAAAAAGCCAATTGAATGCAGTAAGAAATTATAAAATGTAGATAAAGGAATATCTTCTATGTGATCAACTTTTGAAGTGAAGGTTTTATCACCACCTTGCTTACAAGCCTTGGGATCTCACCTGCAGTTGCCTCTTCAAAATCTTCCGCTTAAGCCCTTCATAGAACATGAATTGTATGGCAGGGTTGAACACTAACAGCAGTGAAGGAAAAGTACCATTCCACAATGCCAGGACTCCTTCATCTCTTATTATCTGATGAAAGGCATCTGATGAGAAAGGTAAAGAGCAACAATCACCTTTAATATTCCATAACTATCCGCTTGCAAAGATGATGTTAACTACACATTTTCATGGCTTTGGAGCCTATACATCTGGATTTGCTTTCCAAATAAAATTGTATTCTATATTGCCACTCTCTACATTTACACTAGAATTTTTGGTGTAGTTATTAGGATATCATTGTCACGGATATAAGCAGATTTGGAAGAGTACAGAATTCAAGACAATTTAAAGCAACAAAGGAAAAGAACCAATTCAGTCACTGATTTAAGTCAATCTATAATGTATACTTCAGGGTCTGTTCTGCTCTCACGCTATCTAACCGCTTGGAAGGTGAACTAGTTTTGCAGGGAACAGATGGAGGACACTTACACAAACAGTCAACATGATTTAATAACTGAAAACAGGCTTCAACCCCTTTCCCCTCCTGAGTCTAACTGGCACAGTCTTTGGAAGAGAGTTAAAGTCCGTGAGAGCAGAGGAGTTCTGAAGTACTTAACTTCTCTGCTGTTTCTTCTTTTGTTGGTGTCTGTTTGTCTTTGGAGTAATGCTTGACTTGAACTAACTTTTACTTTAACTTGATATATCTCTGACTTGGCTCCAATATTAACTCCATCTGGACTACGTCTGTGAAGTGCTATTTGTGAACCTTCCTCTCCACTCACCTTCCGTTTCTGAAATGGCTGGTTCTTGTTTCTTGTCAAGGAACATGAAGGGTTTTAACTCAGGCTCTACCCTTGAGAGAATTCTTAAAGGGGCAGAGAGGGGGTGGCTTAAAGGAAAAGTGGTTATCTAGACTGACTCCCACAAACAATACACAAAATGCTAATTCCCTCTCACTAAAAAGGGCTTAAATAGGGGTAAACAGTGAGAGTCTTAACAGAGGCATGACAGGGACTGCTTCAACAAAAATTTAAACAAATTAGCCGATGAATCACTGAAATATCCCATATTACAACAATCCAGAGATTTCATTATACTATTAGGTAATGTATACATGTTGCCTTTATACACAAGATCTGTATGCAGGTAAGAACCTTAAAGAAAACTTTTTGTCACATTGGGCAAATATTGTTTTTTATCTGACTAGACATTTTTTCAATACTGATTGCTTAATTAGTCATATATATTCAGATTTTGGGAACTCAGAACCACTGAGGGAAATGGCATTTTATACACAGGTAAATCTAGATCATGATCCTAATAAATTATCCTAATAAATTATTAAATAACATTAAAAGAATTACTGTCTGCTTTACAGGAGTGAAGCAAACGTCCTGAAGGCTTCTTGTCTACAGTTCCTTGACTGCAACATGAACACTATCATTACAGAATCTATGAATGGTCCTACAATTAAGGCATATTTAACAAAATAAAAAGTCTCAGTTCTTGTGGGTTTTTTTTAAAAAAAGTAACTCATAAAATAAAGATCTGGAATTGAGAAGTTAATTTGGTAGAGGAAATAAACATTTTTTTAATCAGCAAGATCAGACCAGTCTTTGCTTTTGGGTGGACACAATACTGCTCAATTGCAGATACTCTAAAATTCTGGATTCCTGCCTAATAAAGAACTACCTGAATTGTTATTTAAGGAGTAGCAAGACATTTCCACCAGGAAAGATCATAAAAGCACTTTCAACTTAATTGATTATGGGAATGCAAATAATTGCTATCCTTTCATTCGTTGGCAAGTGCAGCATTGTTTCTCACAAAACAAACAGGCAAAACAGCACCTGCACGTTTTGCTCCTTATCTTTAAACTTAATAGATAATGGGAATCATTGTTACATTTTCATTAATTGGCTTTAAAAATCATAAACAAGTGCAGGATAGTTTCTCACAAAAACCAGATACAACAGAACCTGCGCATTTTGACTCTTATCTGAGAATTTACTAGGTTTAGAAACTTGCCTTTTAAAAAAAGTAAAAAGATTAGAAGTTAGAGATTATTTTATATTAATCCTGGCTCTCCCAACTGTATGGACACTCATAATAGAAGTTGTACTTTTATGAATGTATTCTTAACCTTCCACATTTTTATGCATCTGCGTAGGAACTATTCTTGGAGATAGATTCAGATTTAACAAAAGGTTAAGTCAATAGGCAAGATGGAATATTAAACATTTCAAGAATGTGAGATACATTTGTAAAGAAACCGTTTTGAAAACAAGAGGGAGCTGCGTTTTAAACATACACTATAGTATGCCATTTATATTGTTTAGTCAGTACCCAAAAGATAAGATTGATAGCTTGCTTAAAAAACAAAGTATACAAAGTGTGTTGGATACCTTCAAAAAGAACAGATACAATCAATGTTAATTTTAAAATGTATGAGGTTGCACCACAGTTGCACAAGGTAACCTTGTGAAATATATCTATTACTGAAAGGAAGGAGAGCATTACTGGAAAAAATTATACTTCCTTTTCCTCTTACATTAGTGAGAATACTCTGTGAGAGGAATTCTACATATGTGAACGAAACTGAATGAAATTATAGCACTGCTCACCAATCACAACATTACATCTACTAAGAAAAGTGGCAGTGACAAATGTTCACCTGCAATGCCTTTGTAATTGGTAGGTATAATGTCTTCATTTCTAAATTTTGCCCCTTGGAGTTTCAGACGAGTGTTCACAACCCAGAGTGGAGTAGTCAATAATACATTCACAACACCTATTGCAAAACAAACAAGATAAATAACATTAAAAGAAACAAATAACATTTGTCTCACTATATAAAATAGTTAAGGCAATACAGAGAAGTCCACTGTCTACACCCACCCTACAAAAACAATACCATAGAGGTTATGTGCTCTCTGGGAATTCTCACATGTTGCTGCACCATTTCCCAAATCCTTCACTACTGGCAATGGAAAACGAGAAATCTGGGAGTTGAAGTTCAACAATAAATCAAGACTATGAATCATTCTATACGTAATATTTTATCATTTTAAATCCCAAATAAAGGAAACCTGTTCTATGGGATGCTTCCATCAGAAGGTGTTCATTCAATAGAGTTCAATATAATCTGCAGTTTCGTGTTTCTACAGTAAGTCAGGAATATATCCCCTGCAGATATGGAGGTCATACTATACTAATTGGCTCAAGAAGACTTACAGAAGCACTGATTAAACCAATTCCATGCATTGAATTTATAGACTTTAACTGAGGCAAACAACTAGATTTCCCCATATTGTTACAACTGCACAAAAAGCAAGCCTTGTTGTAGCTCTTCACTCTACTGACAACTGGCAGAATTCCATGTGATGTCAAAATAATATGCTGGGCTGGAAAAGCAAGTTTGTTTCTCATAACAGTACACACCTTAGTTCTCACACTCTCCTGGCTTGATGCAGGACTCCACATTAGTCTATGCCTTGAAATCTTGTTGTCATTGATGAAAATCAAAGTGTGAGGCTATTTCAAAAAACCCTAATACATCAAGAAAGGATCTGTATATTTATATTTCTTTTGTTTATGCATTACTTTTCTGTGTGATGTATGCCAAGCATAGGTAATTATTCAAGAACATGAGTAAAATCTAAATATGAGAAAGCCTCTTGAAATTTCCATTTTATTTGACATAAAATTATTAAAATAATAAATGTTGTAAAAATATAGTTTACTTCACTGGATGTAAAGTAAATTCACCATATTTCTTTTTTTACAAAGCACACCAGAGTAGAAGAAAAAAATGTAACAAATGTGTTTATCAAATTTTCCAGAGACATGAAATAAAAATTGATTTTTTTTCGTGTCAGGAGCGACTTGAGAAACTGCAAGTCTCTTCTGGTGTGAGAGAACTAGCCATCTGCAAGGATGTTGCCAAGGGGATGTCTGGATGTTTTACCATCCTATGGGAGGCTTCTCTCATGTCCCCAAATGAGAACCTGGAGCTGACAAGCGGGAGTTCACCCCACTCCCCAGATTCGAACCACTGACTTTTCGGTCAGCAGTCCTGCCGGCAAAGGATTTAAACCATTGTGCCACTGGGGACTCCTATATAAACTGATGGGGTGGAAGGTTATATTACATGTTAACAGATAACAATTTTCTGTTTAGAAACAATCACCAACTAACTTCTACGAAGATGTCTTATATCACAAACATGGGCACTTTCCTTGCTAAAATCAAGATATTAATAAATCCAAGAAATCTAGCTATCAATGCAAAGTTACCATATGATTAAAACCTTGCTAACAGGGTAAACATAAATAGCAAAAAGAAGCAAGTGGAAACAAATCTTCAGGCAGGTCTTGTATGTTCAAATTTACCTCAATTATTGGCTTTGACCTATTCACAAAAACAGATTAACATCCTACATAAATTTAAATATATCTATATATAAAACAGCATATTTGATAGGATTACCTGCAACCACCCCAAGAATCAAGTCTTTTCCTGTGGTTGAATGATGGCCTTTGACCCATACAGCTTTTAAGCTGTTAAATGTATAGAAATAGACAAAGTTGGAACAACAAAGGCTGGAGATGACAGGGAACCACCCTCGATATGGTGCCAAGCTAAGGAACAGACATCAAAAGCAAAGTAAAAATTGTGCAGTTACTATGAGCAAGAAACAACACAATGTTGCAGCCCAATCTAGACTAGACAATCACAATATCTCCCTGAAAAATAAATGTTTTCTAAGCCCTTCAGCACCAAAGTAGCTAAGCATTTCTTAACAGTCTGATCTGGCCACAGTGGTCCACGCTCTTGTTACATCCCGTATAGACTACTGCAACGCACTCTACGTGGGGTTGCCCTTGAAGACTGTTCGGAAACTTCAACTGGTCCAGCGAGCGGCAGCCAGATTGCTTACCGGAGCGACATACAGGGAGCACACCACCCCCCTGCTGTGTCAGCTCCACTGGCTGCCGATTCAATTCCAAGCACAATTCAGGGTGTGGACGGACAGATACACTGGACGGTTCCGGTCCAGTGTATCTGTCCGAACGTATCTCCCTCTACGTCCCACCCCAGAATTTGAGATCATCTGGGGAGGCCTGCTCTCAACCCCACCGCTATCACAAGTGAGGCTGGTGGGGACGAGGAGCAGGGCCTTCTCAGTGGTGGCCCCTCACCTGTGGAACTCACTCCCGGGGGAAATTAGGGCATCAACATCCCTCCTCGCCTTCAGGAGGAAGGTAAAGACGTGGTTGTGGGACCAGGCCTTTGGGCAATCTGACAATTAGATATGGACAACCAGATGGATAGGACTGAAAGGACTGACAATTGTGGAATTGGAATTTAAACTATGAGATTGTGAAACGCTGACCGTTAATAAGGTTTGTATTGGTTTTACCGCTTTTATTGCTTTTATTGGTTTTATGGTTGTTTTTGCCTATAATAATTATTGTTTTCTGTTAATTGTTGTGATTGCTAGAATTGCTGTTTTGTTAACTGATGTTATTGTCTCTTGCTGTTATGTGATGCGGGCATCGAATTGTGCCTTGCTTTTGTAAGCCGCCCTGAGTCCCCCCCCCCCCCCCGGGGTGAGAAGGGCGGGGTAGAAGCAACTGAAATAAATAAATAAATAAATAAATAAATAAATAAACAGCTATGACTGTAGAGCCCTTTTAAATCAATGCAATTCTAGCACATATGAGGTTAAATCTAATTGAAGTAAATGGCACTTATTTATTGGTAAATGAGCAGAGGACCCACATTCTTCTATGGATAAACAAATAAATAATAAAACAGACTATATATTATGACTTATAGAAATTTAGTTAAAAAGTCAACCCCAAAAACCTGGGCTGACTTATAGACAGGTCAATGTTAGTACTGCATGTTAACTCTCATAAAGAAAGAAACCATCTCCTTCCCTGAGTAGTGGCATAAGGTGAGAGCATAGTCCATCCAATAACTTAAAAGAAGTTCCAGCTCTGTGTCATGGCACCAATTTTTACCTTATGGACATTTTGATGGGAAATGACAGGAGCAGCAACAGCAGCTCTTCTTTGGCACTTTCCCTCAAAGGCTCAGCGCTTCTTATACTTCTCCCGGGATGAACTATGCTTTTGCCTTTAATCATTACTCTGTTCAAAGCAGACGATGTTTCCTTTTCCAATAAGACTTAATGCTGTACCTTAGCTTTTATTGAGTGG